GGCTTCTACTGTGAGGAAGGAGACGTCAGAGAAGATCCAGCTGCAAACTGTGTCCCAGTAGATTGAAAGCATGAGAAGGTGCAAGGCTGAGTTACACCCTTGGCCCATCTGGTCTAGTATTAGCCAATCCTAACTGGCAGCAAAGGCTATCCAAGCTTTGGGACATGATCCTTTCCTAGACCTCTCTCTGAAAGTACTAATCATCTTCATCCTAGAAATACAGAGCTAGAAGGGACCCGATGGATCATCATATATTGTTTCTTCACAGCAACATTGTTCTTAGACCACTTGAGATAAGGAAGTTCTCTACAGCCAAGATTTACAAGAGGAATCAAATTTAGAGAAGCTACTTTTCAAATATCTACCATACTTACCTACGTCTTCTCTAAATTCAATGTTTGCAGCTGCTAAGCTCATCTAAACTAGCTGCCGTCACAACATACACTAGAGCAGTGGTTCTTAACCTTTGTTACTCGGATGCTTTTGAACTGCAACTCCCAGAAACCCCAGTCAGGACAACTGGTGGTGAAGGCTTCTGGGAGTTGTAGTCCAAAGCTCCTGAGTAACCCAAGGTTAAGAACCAGTGCTCTAGAGCAGTGGTCCCCAACCTTTGGCCTCCAGATGTTCTTGGACTTCACCTCCCAGAAATCCTGGCCAGCAGAGGTGGTGGTGAAGGCTTCTGGGCGTTGTAGTTCAACAACATCTGGAGGCCCAACGTTGAGGACCACTGCTCTAGAGTATTAAAGGCGAAACTCTACAGATTTTTTTTTTCCAGTTTGAAGACTCTGAACACGATCTGGGGCATGCCTTCCAAGGGGTCTGGGTTCAATGTGCAAGCATTACCTTGACCCATGATTTCTTGTTAGTACAGCCTATCGAATTGAACCGAGACCTATTTCTCAGTAGGGGGTGAAGGATCACGAAGGATCCTTCGCAAAGAAAGGATGAAGGAGATTCTTCTAAAGCAGTCCCAACCAATACCTATAGTGCTTGCCCTTTAGCCAGGAGTGACATGTAGAATAACATGAGCGTTTGATCTTCAGACATTCAAAGCCATTTAAAAAAAGGGGAGAAAAATCAGTATGAAAGCGAGGCCACGTCCCAATAAAGAGCTGTGCCAGTGGTGACATGTAGAATAACATGAGCGTTTGATCGTCAGACATTCAAAGCCATTAAAAAAGGGGAGAAAAATCAGTATGAAAGGGAGGCCATGTCCCAATAAAGAGCTGTGCCAGTGAAGAAATTGAATTGCTAATGAGAAGCATGAATCCCTTTGGGCCGACAGAGGCTACCAAGAAAATGAGAAGAATAAGAGAAAAGGAGCAGAGGGAAAACCAAGCTCAGAGAGTATATCGCTCCTTGTTTTGCATTCCAGCTCAGACTGGACCAACACTTTCTCACATAGAGAGAGAGAGAGAGAGAAATCCAGTTACTTGGAGGTAACACTTGTCTGGGTTTCACCCAGAGTGCAAATTAATAACCTAATTGGTTTCAGGGTGCAAATGGTACTTGAGAAGCGGCAATGCATACAAAAAATATGCATATCTCTATTGTGAAAAAAACTGCATTTAAAACGAATAGGTTAAATCCAAGTCCCATTGGTTTCAGTATGTCTGTTTTAGTTAATCTCAGTGGTTTGGGTCTCTGGCTGTAGAGCCAGAAGTTGGGAGTTCAATTCCCCCACTGTGTACCTCTTGGGAGAAAAGCCAGCCTGGGGGGCCTTGGGCAAGCTGCACAGTCCCAGGGCGCCCTCTAGAGGAAGGGAATAGGAAATGCTACTTCTGAGTATTCTCTGCCTGGAAAACCCTGGGTAGGGTCCTCATAAGTCAGAATTGATGGCATGCTATTATTATTAAGGTTGGATTTAGCTTGAAGTGAATTTTGAGGCATTAAAAATATCATAGATTGAAATAGAATGGATTAATAGACCAAATTCATTTTTATTGTAACTAGAATAGACCCATTGAAACCAATGGGCTTTGCATTCATGTTAGCCAGCAATGGGCAAATTCCTAGCCCTAAGAGAATTTTTGTGAAATCCTCTGTTTTGTTGTTGTTGAAAAAAAAAAGCATTTTGCAACTAATGGACACCATCAGAGACCGCCAAAGCCAACTCCCTTAAAAAATATCCCAAATCAAAACCAGAAGTTAAAAGCTCGCCCCTTCTGGATTGTTGGATGGATGGATGCAATTTTTGATATATTCTGCCATTTTTCATCCTAATGGCATCTGTAGTGTTTGGGTTAAAAAGTCCTGCCAAAGGGATCCATGTCCCCTTTGTGTCCACAGATCTGATGCAGCTGGAAGTAAAATTAGATTTATTTCAAAGAGAGACCTCATGTCAAAATGGGGTGAATCAGAAATAAGCTGCTTCTTCCACCACCGCTGAGAGCGGTTGGGTGTACACACGTCGAGATTTTCTCTGTTTGACCTAAAACATGATGGACAGACACCTGATTGACAGGTTGCCTCCAGAATGACATCTTGCAAGTCACATGCCATCATCTTTTACCACTGGCCTTGCAGCCAGAGCTTCTTCGAATGAGGAAGCATCTACTCTACAGACTCAACGGAGAATTTCGCTGTGCATCTTTGAAACAGCCAAAAGAGTCACTGGGGATCAAGCACATTCAGAGGAATGAAAGAACAAGAAACAAAAATGACAAGTGACCTCGGAATATTTCAACAGCCTGCCTGGCTTAATCCTCCTCTTTCGCAGACACGGTCACCAGGCAAGCGCTTCTACCCAGTGCATAAATATCCATCGCTGAGCATGGATACAGAGACCAGCTGGGCAAGATAAATGGACATGGACAGCCGTGAACGCAGAACATCAGTTCAAAGGGTTGATGCGCCAGGAGATCAGCAGGGGGTGACGCTTTGGAGAAGCTGCGGCGTACATTCTTGAGCGATCTGCATTTTTATTTTAAAGAAAGCATACTGGAAGTGTGATGCTTCTTAATATTAAGCAAGGAAGCTTGAAGGAGTCTAGAAACCCCATGGTGAACAGTCTTCCACCCCTCTCGTATTAAGGAGGTAGTGGGTGCTCTTAATTGTCCTAGCCCTTGATCAAAAAGTGTATCTCAGCTTATCAAGGCATCCCACTGGGGTGGGGGGAACAGGGATGGAGACTTAAGCGATGTAACTCACTGTCAAGTCAGACTTAAGTCACACCAGCGACTCAGACTTGACTCAGGTTTTTTTTTTAAATGACTCAGACTCAGCTCAGATACATTTTTCCGAGTCACATTTTCAAGTCCCTATTCTTTTAATGAGGGATGCTATAAACCTGGAAGAAGCTTTGTGACGTTCACCAGAAAAGGCAAGAAAGTCTGGCAAACACTTAGGGGAAGGACAGATGGGACCAAACGTAGGTGGTTCTCAAGCCTCAGACCTACACAGAGAGAGAGAGCACTCAGAACCCACCCTCCCTTTTTTCCTGGGGACAAAAAGCTTATTTTTAATACGGACTTGGACTTGGGACTTCATGATCAAAGACTCAAACTCAAATTTGGGACTCTGACCCAAAGACTCGCTGACCTCCCTGGGGAAAAACTGTCAAAGGCTACTTTATGCAACAAGATGCACTTTTTTATGTTCACCAGCAACACTAGCAAAAAAAAGTCATTTTTTGTGCAAAAAAAATTGTAGTCCTCACAAAAGACACACTTGTAATACAAAACACAAAGTTGTGATTCAAAACATTAAAATATTTCTGCAGATTTTTCATGACAAAGTATTGAAGTGCAAAAAATAAATAAATACAGAAAAATGTCTGTAATAGCCAAAGGAGATTATCTCCCAGCGTGAGAAAGTCTTTGAATTTTTGAATTATTACTATGAGAATGAAATAAACCAATTTTTACATGGCTGTCTTCAAATCCGAGGCTGGCTGCTGCCAAGGACACTTTCTTATGTACCAGTATTTGCATAAATAAACAATCACACATTGTAGACGAGTCTTCCAACATGTACTACAGCTACCATATTGGACTAACAGCCCAGACAGCACCATTGGGAATTTAAGAGCTGGTTTCACTGCAACCAACCTGCCATGATTTCCCATACACAAAAACCAAGAAGCATCACGCTGCCTCTGACCAAACACTTGCGTTGTCCAACAATCTGCTCCCGCAAGGCCAACCAGATGCCTCTGGGAAGCCTCCTAGCAAGACAGATGTACTACTCTTGGGCATCTCTTCTCTTCAGCCCCATGTGCCAGTATGCCTCTTTATATCAGCTTCTGGAGAGTGTGGGGACTCAACTTGTAGCAGTTCTCTAGGCATCAGCCTGGCCACTGGGGTGTATTATGGAAGGTGGTGGCCCCAGTCCTCATCTTTGGGTTCTAGCCAAGATGGTCACAAGAGCTGTCCATGGTGCTGAACACTCTGGAGAGCTAATTTAAAGTTTACGTAGAACCCCAGAGTGGATTCATCAGCATCAACGACCTCTATTAGCCCAGGAAGTGGAACACTGATCATTTTCTTTTAATTACATTCGGGTTTATTTTTTGTTGCAAACCACTCAGAGCAACAGAATCCCACTATATGGTGCAGTATGGAAATTCAACAAATCAACAAACACTGGGCTATCTCGGCCTTTGATTTGGACCGTCTCGTGTTCTTATGCATTCATTGATAAGCATGCTATCTCAAAAAATGCAGACTTAATCTGTTTCAGTGCTTCCCAACATTGGGTGCCCAGATATTTTCAAGACTATAACTCCCAGATATCCTGGCCACCACAGCTGGGAGTTTTAGTTCAAGAACATCTAGAGATTCAAGGTTGGGAACCATTGGTCTACATCATGACTCCTAATTTTATTCAACCAAATAGGATGATATTCTGGACATACATAAGTTGGGCAGAAGCCGTGATCAGCAGCTACATTCATAATCCAGGCAATGTTGGCACATGTAAACAAATCTCTCTCTCTCTCTCTCTCTCTCACACACACACACACACACACACACACACTTTTTTTTCAGTAGTAAACCTACCTGTTATATAGAAGGATATCCGGCTTCCATATCTGACCATCAGGAAAACGGACATTTTTCACTCCAGGGTATTCGGACATATTCCACTGTAAATAGTAGTCTGTCCAATACTTGACAAAGGAAAGGGAAAGTAAACAATCACCTGGTTTGAATTTTAAGCTTCTGTTAGAATTAAGTTGCTCCTTGAAATACAGCCTGCTTTCCTCTGTGTAAAAATTACTGCCTAGATCACTCAAGCAAGCAACATTGTTCTCATAAACGTAAACCCTTTACAAATTGTGCTTCTGGACACATTAAGGGAGAGAGAAACAAATGGAAAGCATTAAAATTGCATTTTTAGGTCACCCAATTGCACAGAACCGCCTATAAAAAGACATTTTGGTATGTTTTGTGACTTACAGCTCATGCTACCTCAAGCATAAAATTGGACCATACCTTTTAAAAAAAGAAGAATAAGAGTAATAATAAAGTCCACACATTCTCTCCAATTACCTTTTGCTTTAGCGCCATAACTTGGAGAGTTCCTTTTAGCGAAAAATGATTAGACCGTAATAACCGATTAGAAGCACATTAAGTTGGACTGCCAAAGGTCTCTCAGCTGATAAGATACGTGAGCAACTTCAGCTCTGCAAAAAAACCGAGGCAGGTTTTATGACTGAGGATGCTGTCTCTAATAGGAGGAAAATAGTGTTTTCTTCGTGTTACCCTATTGCCGAAAAAAATAAATGTTTATGGCCTCTCGTAAAGCCAAGAAGTTCACAGATTCATTAGGATTGAGGTAAGGCAATTTTGGGAGATACAGCGAGCCACACGTGGCCATCGCTGGACCGCAGAGGATCACACTTATCTCCATCCCCTGATCCACGGTCCCCCAAAATTATTACAAATGGGATAATTTGTTAAGTTCCTCCTTGCACCCTCTACTGGTGTGGGGAGCTATTGGGAGACATGGATTAGAGATGGGCTGCCCTCCGAGGTCTAGTGAGAGCAAAAACTTAAGCTGCCTCTAGTTTGAAGGAACCTATTTACACTAAATAAATCAACATGCACACACAGATGATGGTGACCTCTGGGATGTGATAATGGTCACAGCCACCTAAATAAGTAAAGGGTCTTTTGCCAGGGATGGGGACTCAAGTAGGTCACAGCCACCTAAATAAGTAAAGGGTCCTTTTCCAGGAATGAGGACTCAAGTTGTGGGACTCACTCTCAAGTCAGACTTGAGTCACAGACTTGACTCATGCAGAACCCAATCACCCTTCCCTTTATTCCGGTGGGGAAAGCTGGTTTTTAATAGAGACTCAGACTTGGGACTTGATACCAAAGATCCAAAGACTTGCCAACATCCCTAGTATTTACACCCAAGGGGATGGCCATCTCCTCCTCTGGATCCAACCTATGTTGGCATTTTTAAAGACAACTTTATGCATACGTTTTGAGCCTGAACTCTTAGGAGGCTGGCACAGCTTTGTGAAGCCTCACAATGTTGTGTCAAGATTTTGCAGCCTTTAGAGACTAGGAGACTCAGAAAGAAGATGGGGGCTTGATTGACTTGAAATCACTAGTCCAATGGGATTTTTTAACATTGGCAATAGGGTCACGTCTTGTGTGGGTTTTCCTCCAATTTAGGAGTGTGCCTGTTTGAGTTGTGCCAACTATGACTCCCTGACATCAGTACGTCTGTCCTTCAGTCCCACATCACTGCCACAATCACTGGAGAATCTTATACCTCCATTAAGAGGATTATGTGGCAATCTTGATTGTCTGGCATTATGGAACCCTCATTTCAGGTAACGTTAACGTCTTACACAACGGCTGTCTGGCTGTTTTGTTATTCTTTTTTTTTTCTTTTTTCTTTTTGCAACTCTCCGGGCTGTTTACAATGCTGTCAAGCCAGCAAATGATCAAAGTGCTCCAATGATATATCCTCCAGGTCTACAGATGTCAGTCGCTGGAGGGAGCATTAAATTGGGACACCCAGCGACTGACTCTCATCTTTTTCCATGTTTGTGACGTGAATAACTGTATCCTTAATTAAACTGTTCGGGAGAGTATCTACTCTAGACAGTTAGAGCAGTTTTGATAGCACTTCATCCACCACGGCTCCATCGGACAAAATCCTTAGGATTTGGAGAAGCACTTAGGATTCGCTGCTAGGCAGATCCACTGAACTGTCTTGAGTTATAACTGAGAATTCGACATGCCCTGTCAAAATACAAATGGCAAGATCCCACAGAACTGATCATCCCAGAATGCAAGACACATGATAATGGTCTCCAGTTACAAGGAATGAGATTTCAGCTGAATATCAGGAAAAAAAGAGCAGTACAACAATGGAACCTATGACTTGGGAAGCTGATGAGTACACCAAGATTGGAGGCCTTCAAGAGAAAGTTGGACAACCATCTGTTGAATCAAAGTAGACTTGGATCTACTTTGGATCTGTTGACTTGGATCCCTGTGCTGAGAATGGGGTTGGACTCGATGGTCTTACAGGTCCCTTCCAACTCAACTATTCTGTGATTCTATGAATGGCAGGATGGTGGTTAAACTGGTATCAAGGTGCTACCATCACGTGGTTCAGGCAGAGCAGCAACAAAACATTTTGAACCAAGCAGTACACTCTGACATCCATGAGCAAGTCCTCCATGAAAAGGGGGGAGAAGATAATCACATTACCCCCCCAAAAAAGGGGGGGAAGGAAGTCAGTACTTTCCTAAGGGGCCAAGAGGGGTCACCCCCTGTTTTCTACACACTCACCATGAAATTCTCCTCTAGATTTTGGTGCCATCTAAATTTTAATGCAAAGACTCACTTGCCCTACTCCAGTTACAGCCCTGACTGTAGATATACTCTGAGTTCTTCATGATCTGCCTGCATGAACCGCTGAATCCTTTTCTCCGTTTTTTCATAGTCCTTCCATATCTCCTTTTAAAAACATAATGGTTATCCCAGACCCCCTTTCTTACTTGTAAGGAGTTTTTCTAAACCAACTAAGGAAGGGGTAGGATTTCTCCAGTCCTGATTTTTGATCTCATCCTTCTGGCATCTCATTCCAGACTGATGGGCTTGGTGTGCCCGGCCTAAGCCCCAGCTACTGCCGGTGAAATCTCTGAGCAAAAATCTGAAGGTCTTTTTGTGCCCCCCACACACACCATTTCTCTTTCACCTCACATGTCCTTCTTTGCCCAGATCACCACAGAGGCATCCCTCACTTGCTCCTCCAGAAAAGATGGGACAGCCCACTGTCCAGGATGGTAGGAGGTCTCCTGCCTTGGGCAAGGGGCTGGACTAGAAGACCTCCAGGGTCTCTTCCAACCTTACGATGATTCTATGATTCCTCTGGGGGCAAGGGGTGACTTTCCCCTCTGTCTTTAGACCTAGGTTGCACTGACATCATTTCAGGCAACCTCACCATTTCAGGCTTGTAGCTGGGTTGATTATCAATCATGGCCATAGGAAAACATGAGAAAGGGAACTTCTTTTCTACTGTTGTTGTTTAGTCATTAAGTCGTATCCAACTCTTCATGACCCCATGGACCAGAGCACGCCAGGCCCTCCTGCCTTCCACGGCCTCCCGGAGTTGGGTCAAATTCATGTTGGTTACTTCGATGACACTGTCCATCCATCTTGTTCTCTGTCATTCCCTTCTCCTCTTGCCCTCACATCAAGGTCTTTTCCAGGGAGTCTTCTCTTCTCATGAGATGGCCAAAGTATGGGAGCCTCAGCTTCAGGATCTGCCCTTCCAGCGACCTTTTCTACTAGTCTACCTTATAGCTCAGCATTGGAGAACCAAGCCCATGGGAAGGATGACAAGTCAACATCAGTGGAGCCCAGGCAGACCAGTAGAGATACACTAACTGTCCAGAGATAACAGTTCGTGCTCAACTGGTCCAAGACTTGTTGTTACTTGACGTGAACAAGCAAACACCACCCTGTTCTGCCAGGTCAAAGTACATATATGTTCTTTCAATACAGAAATGAAGCAGAAAACTCCTGCAATCACCTCTCCTCATCTCTGGCAGAAGAGAGTCCACAATAACAAAGGAAGATGCTCGTCATTCACTGCCTTGCCATGACTCTCCAGTAGTGCTGCCTGAGAAAGATGCTGTACTCTACCCCAATGGTAGAGCCGGCCCGGCCAGTGTTGACACCAGCCCTGCTCCGCTTGGAAGCGAAAAAACAAATATTGCTTTTTAAAGAATGCAACAAATCTTTGTAGTTTCCTCAATGACAAGCAGTCTCTTGACACATTGAGACAACCTGGGGGGGCAGGGTTGTGAGGTTTTGCATTCCTGCATGAATGGGATGCGGGGCGGGGGGGAGAGAGATGTTAGCCAACAAAAGTTTATTCTCTGGGAGAGGGGGGCGATTCCTTGCATTTTATACAAGAGACTTTTCTTTTTGCAAAAGCAAATATTTTTGCAATGTATGTGTGGGGGAAAACTTTCATGAATTGTTTGCAAAAATGTTTCAAATGCAAAAAAAGAAAAAAAAAGGAGGAGCAGGAAAGAAAGAGAAAGGAAAGGAAATGCACATGTCACCCAGCAGGAAGAAGCCTTTTGGAAGTTTTCTTTCCCACCTGTGAGAATAAAATAAGCAAAGTTTTTTTTCCCATCCCTGCTGTTTTCCCACTAATTAAAGCCTTGGTAGGCCTAATGAGGAGGTCCAGTAATTCAGCCGCCCCCATGCAGGCTCTACATGTTGGAGGCAGTCCAGTTTTTGTAATGGGTACAAAAAGCTGGCTCAAAATATGTTCGCATATTCAGGTCTATATTAGACAGTACGGAGCATGTCTATGCCCTTTTCAAAAGCCCATTTCCCCTCCACGGATTTCCTCCGAGATGTTTGCCTCAGAAACCAGGGTGGCAAATGAAACCCATGTTTATCGCTCAACAGTTGAAACTAAGCACAATAAAGGCAAGCTATGCGGGTGAGGAAAACCACATGCTGGGACAAAAAAAGCATTTTTCACTAGTTGAGGAAGCACCTCTTCTAGAAACGTGCTCAGTAGATGGCCTAATTTGATGCTCAGAAGTCTTCTGCAAACACTGCTTTTATTGGGGTGGTCGATGGTCTATTTAAGCCTTTTTCATACTCTTGGAGTCTGTTTTGAAAGAGGTGGAGAAAGACAGACAGCAAAGCTTCATGTGTGAATTGAAGAGCTCGCGCTTGGAAGAGCCTGCCAAATCAAGTTGCCAGTTTTTGCAGCTCAACTGTGTTCAAAACATGATTTGGCAGCTCAGGCAAGAAAATGCTAAATCAATCAGAGAAGTGGGGGGAACGGAAGTAACACTTGGATTATTTGTTTAGAATGTTTTCGATCCGAGCCGGAGTGGGAAATAAATAATAGGACAGCGGCACGTTTCTAATGAATCCAATTTGTAGACTTCCCCCCCCCACCCCTGTTATAATTAAACATCATCCTCTACATTGGTTGTGAGCTCTGCCCCCTTCGGTCTCCAAATCTCTGGCAGGAATCCTACCGACACCTACAGTCTTGGGCAGTTGAATTGATCTCCCTATCTTGGAGGTTTTTCTGCTTGCTTAAGGCAGGGGTTGTGAAAGCCACTGACTGTCCTCAGTTCTAAAGAATGGCAACTTCTCACTCATGTAAAAATAAATCATGTAGGAGAAGTCTTTCCATTGAAAATTAATTAAGCCACAACTTGATCAGGTGGATGAGAAGGGCTGTTGAAATCAGAGATCTGCAGGATCTCTCTGAGTGGCCCAGATCCTGTTGCATCGCATAGTCAATTGCACTAGAACAGGCCTACTGAATCAATGGGGACTGGGTGAGTCACCTCCCCGGTAAGTTCCACTGAGCCAAATGGGCCTGCTCTAACTGCAATGTGCTTCAGCACAGCGGCCCTCAAACCAGCGTCCCCAGATGATCTTGGACTACAACTCCCAAAAATCCTGGCCAGCCCAGCTAGTGGCAAAGGCTTCTGGGAGTTGCAGTCTAAGAACATCTGGGGACCACAGTTGGAGAACTACGACTTTAGCGCAATACGTTGCCCCTAGAGTCATAGGAACATTGCCGTTCAAATAGCAACTCCTGAGTAAATCTCACCACACTATTCATTTGATATATGCACAGTTCTTTGTTAACAGAAGGAGAAGAGCAACCTAGAAAGAAAGTCTATTAAATATCATGAGCCAAAAAAGGGTCCATATATTTAAATAATACACCAAGTTCAACCCTTATTGTGTTCCGGAAAGGCTGGTGCATTTTCCTCCCTGCGGTGGAGAGAAAGGTCCAGGGCGAAAGTGGACCAAATCCTTTCCTCCTGATCTCCTTCGGACACCCACCCCCGTCCTGCCTCTTATGAGCCATCCATGTTCTAAGAGCAGCAGCGGGACATGATCCATCATGGATGAGCTTCATACGGCCAATCATGGGACTACAGCAAAACTTCCCCACCATCTACAGAAGGGGAGATCCTGGTTACCCAACAACCTCAGAGACACCCTTTCCAAAATCCAATATAAGGTCCTCATTGGAATCGTCTCTAGATCCTTTAATCATACATGGAATTAAATTAATCTTCCCAGAACAATCTCTGAACATGGATTTCCTCTCTAGGTCTCTGCCATTCAGTATCTACCTGTGGATACCAAAGGATTTTACAGCAGAATTCCACATTTCACGGTAGACGGCAGCTGTCATAGAGCTACGATCACCCTTTGAGCTCACAGATCTGACCTCGAGCAGTCATTTTTTGACAATATGTGACAGCCAGCCAGTATTTCACAAGAGGTGGCAGCTGACACCCAGGCTCATTTAAGACTTAACTGTATCTGACAGATGGCGCGCCACTACAGCGATCAATATGTGACTTTATTTACAGGGCGTCTTCAATGGAATTTGGTCAGCTTTTTATTAGCTGCATTCCTTCATTAAATCAGTCACGACGGCCGGCTACTATTGAATCTGTCATATTGTGTTAGCCTTTAAGAGGCCACCAGACCCTCTGCCGTTGCTCTTTGTCCTTTGAAACAGACTTCTGAACAGTAGTCCTTTCAAAACATACTCCCAAGCTTTAAAACTTACCATGTGCAGCCAAATGTTGGTGGTTAAGACTTGATTCTTTTCATCCTGCCAAAGCAAAGAAAGGAATAAATCAGCACTGGTAGTCATTTAAGTGTTATTTTGAAGAAGAAGAAGAAGAAGAAGAAGAAGAAGAAGAAGAAGTTTTTAACTTGCCATTTATAAGCAGTGTGGTGTAATGGGTAGAGTGATGGATAAGGACTCTAGAGAACAGGGTTCGAATCCCCACTTGGCCAAGGAAACTTATTGGAGGAGTGGAACTAGTAAAATCACTCCTTAAGCATCTCTCTTACTTTGAATGCCCTATTAGGGTCATTATAAGTCATTTCTGACTTGATAGAATAGAACACACACACACACAATCACTAAAATAAGCAGAAGCTAAGCTAACACTGCTTAACAACATTTAGACTTCCAACATTTTAACCGATAAAAGCTGAAAGCTAACAGTAACTCACAACTAGAGCAAATCCACTGAATTGATGGAACTAGCACAGGCGTTGACTCATTGATTCTCCACTGATTCAACAGGTCGACTCTAGCCATGACTTGCGACTGAAGTTCAGCCAAAGCAATTAAGAGAAACAGCAGGAGTCTGAAGGACTGGAGACCCAGTCATGACCTCCCACAAGCTCGGGTGATCAGCCAGGTTTTGACTTGGCATTGAAAGAAATGCCATAATGGTGCCAATCATGCCTGCAAGCGGAGGGCATCCCTCAACCAGAGTGCTACGGCCAAGAATGCCTTTTAATTGACTCCGCAGAAGCCTTACATAGACCCAGTGTTTCTCCCTTCATTTAAGTCAATAGAAATGCAGTAACACCATGTTCACAACAAAACACCCGGTAAGTCTGTAGACAGTTTCACAGCTCGTACATTGGTCGAACTGCCCTCTGTGCTCCACCCCTCAGGTGCAATCTCAGAAGGATGTCGTGTCTACAAACGTTCGCAGGCTCAGGACCCATGGCCAGTCTGTCATTAGTAAGCACTGCCTTCCAGACAAATCATTATTTAAGAACCTCGGTGGAAGCAGACTTGTTTCGCCATCGAAACTCTGTGCTTGTATCCCAGATAAGTAATCCATTAATCTTTATCAGTGCTGTTTCCTTGGAGGATTTGTTAACAGCCGCTTCCGAAAGGTGCTGCATCTTGTTCCAGGGTTTTAGAGCAATGCCTCACCAGTGTTAATGGCAAGGTTATTACTTTGGAGCAAGGCAAACACTTGTGTAATGCATCACTCACACTGCAGCCTACCGAAATTTTTATTAATTTATTGATTTCATTGATTTATATACCACCCCATTAGGGCTATGCACTATTTATTTATAACCGTAAAAATATATATATATGGCATATACGAATGAACTACAACAATAAAACTCAGACATTTAACCCAATAATACAGATGGCACCATAAGCAATTAGGCATAAAATCAGAATAAAACGGGGTCTATATGGAAAGCCTTCCTAAAAAGCAGTTGCCTTTGATTCCACCAAGTCGGTGCCACCACAGAGAAGGCCCTACCTCTTCTTGATTTCTTTCATGCCTCCATTGGTGTGGCTACCTGGAGGAGCAGAGCTTAAGAGGATCTGGTCCACTGGGCAGATGTTGGACCAAGACACTAAGGGGCTTGGTTTCAGATCTTCTCTGTGCTTACAATGAAACCAGTACCACCAAGCTGATCATCTGTTGGTCCCTTTAATTGTCTGCCACGTTGTGGACCCATAAAGGGGTCCATTCAAGCTCTCTCAGGGGAAAGAGAAGGGTAAATCGAGGGAGCAAAGCCTCGATGTGGAAGGCCTCCAATCTCAGATCCTTAAAGTTGCTGCCAGCCAGGGAAAGAGAAGGGTAAATCGAGGGAGCAAGGGATGAGCAAAGCCTTCAATCTTAGATCCTTAATGTTGCTGCCAGCCAGAGCCGGAAATGCCGGGTTAGAAGAACAGTCTGTCCAGCTATAAAGTAGATTCTCACATTCTATGAGGAAGCTCGAGTAATGGGGTCCCAAACCGTGAAGGGCTTCATATTAAAGGTTAAAGGTTCCCCTTGACAATTTTTGTCCAGTTGTGTTTGACTCTAGGGGGCGGTGCTCATCCCGCTCTTCAAGCCATAGAGCCAGCGTTTTGTCCGAAGACAATCTTCCGTGGTCACATGGCCAGTGTGATTTAGACACGGAACGCTGTTTACCTTCCCACCGAGGTGGTCCCTATTTATCTACTCGCATTTGCATGCTTTCGAACCACTAGGTTGGCGGGAGCTGGGACAAGCAACAGGCGCTCACTCCGTCGCGTGGATTCGATGTTACGACTGCTGGTCTTCTGACCCTGCAGCGCCACCACGTCCCTACAAGGGCTTCATATGCGAACATCAAAACCTTGAACCTGATTCAGGACACGGAATTCCCTCAAGCAATGAAACGGCTGCTACCAGAGGGTGTTAATCCATTATTGAGCCCTGATCTTACTCCTGCCTACTGAAGCCAATACCTAGCTCTCTCACTTTCTTGGTCTAAGAGACTCCAAAGTCAGAAGAGACCGAAGAAGGAAGTCTACAACGCATGTGTCTCTCCCAACTGGATGCTTTCCCTAGCCCTACCTTTCTATTTCCCAGTGGTCTTAGATTCTCACATTCTATGAGGAAGCTCGAGTAATGGGGTCCCAAACCGTGAAGGGCTTCATATGCGAACATCAAAACCTTGAACCTGATTCAGGACACGGAATTCCCTCAAGCAATGAAACGGCTGCTACCAGAGGGTGTTAATCCATTATTGAGCCCTGATCTTAGTCCTGCCTACTGACGCCAATACCTAGCTCTCTCACTTTCTTGGTCTAAGAGACTCCAAAGTCAGTAGAGACCAAAGAAGGAAGTCTACAACGCATGTGTCTCTCCCAACTGGATGCTTTCCCTATCCCTACCTTTCTATTTCCCATCCAAATGCTCACCCTGCTGGACCCTCCTTAGCTTCTGAAATCAGTTGAGGGCATTCAGGATGAAATTGGTGTTTGTTACATGTGGATGCTAGCTTTTAACCATGCCTAAATCCATATTCTGTAGACTCATAGCTTGAATCATTGCACAAGCCCTGATCGGCGTGATCCTGCCACCATCCTAGGTCCAAATATATGTACACAATGGTCATATATGGCGTTCTTAAAGAACTCAGGGACAGATGATCGGAAATGATCGCATCTGCTCACGGGTCGCCTTAGATTTGGCCATTCTATGAATTCCTGTTTCTCGGAGCTTGGAAACAAGGTCTTTTGTCCATTGCTCTTGGCGCTGCTTGACTACCGCTCTTTGAACATTTTATTTTTGAGTTCAGCATTCTCCAATTTTATTTTCCAGCAGCTTTACCCTTCTTCTCTGGCCAGCATCAAAAATATATTCTCCTGTATCCACTTCTTTGAGGCTCTTAAATTTTAGACGGCAAGATCTGGGCCCCAATTTTCTTTTTCATAATTATCCTGAGCTGCTGATTTGGAGGACTCCGTTCAAAGAGTGAGATACAATTTGACGGAAGGGTAGATAGCTAGCCAAGCGTCGAGATATTTTACTTAAAATCCGCTCTGAGAGTTACCTCCGAGCTTACACTCTCTCTTAACAGCTTCTCTACTCAAATGTCAAGAAGTGCACTTCCCCCCCCCTAAAAAAGGAAGTGAAGAATCATGTATTCACTTTTGTTCCTGAATGGCTAATTTATAGGGTCTAACACTGCACACGCACAAGTGTAAGCGAGGAAGAAGCACCTTCAGGAAACTGTCTCTTTCCCTCTTACGTATTGCTTAAAAAATTCAGAATGCATGAATGAGTGGTTTTGGACCTAATAGGACCCTACTGGATTTTGCCTCTAAGTTTCTCTCTCCAAAATACATCTGCTAGGCAATTGTTTCTTCCCCATAAAAATAACCCAGCGGCGTGTTGATGATGCACAGCTTCTGCTGAACAGAAGATGACTCTGAGGACCTTTTTCTTACTCAACGGGTTGGGCCATTTCTCATTAAGGCAAGAGGCCTCTTGGTGTCTTTCTCTCTTTAGAACTTTTGCACCTCATCGCTACATCTCAGAAAGCCTCCCTTGGAGACAGAAGGATGAGGCCGTCAGCATCTCCAACTCAACAATGAACGGGACAAATTTCATTCCTGCCAAATTATTGCATTTCCAGAAACTACGATGACTCACGCCCGTTTTGCAAACAGAAGGAAACAACAGCCGCAAAATGAGACATGAATATGGAAGCCGTCACAGCTGAATGCAACTTCTTAACAAGCAGAAAGACTCAGCCGAACATCCCCCAAATACTAACTCACATGTCATCCTTGTCATGGTACATGATTGCTCTAGCCGGTTCTGAAATGGAGAAAATAAATACCTGACTCTTGAACTTCGGGTAGAGAGACCTGTCATGCCTGTTCTTAGTCATACAGGAAACTGCCACCTCTTGAGTCTAATCATTCGGCTGTCTAGCCCAGTTATCCAGGGTGATTTGTACGTAGCAATTAGTCTCCAGGACTTTTAAGCAGATTTCTTCCGCAGTCCTGCTGTTTCCTGATGTTCCCTGGCAGTCACCTCAACCAAGTACCCCACAAACATGTCCTTACTTAGGTTCTAAAATCAATGGATATTGGGGTGTCCTGCTGTTTCCTGATGTTCCCTGGCAGTTACCTCAAACATGTCCCTGCTTAGGTTCTGAAATCAATGGATATTGGGGCACTCACAAAGGTGTGGGCATATTCCATTCTTTGAAATAACATGCACGTCAGTGGTGGTAGATCAATCTAATACTACCAGGATCTTCTTAAGAACGTAAGAACAACTGGGCTGAGTTGGACCGGAGGTCTTCTGAGCCCAGGATTCTGTTCCTCTAGAAGTCAACTAGATGCTCCCATTGGGAGGACATGAGTGCAACAGGACCCCCCGCCTTCTTGAGGTCCCCAGCGACTGCCAGGGAGACCTGTGCTGCTAATGGCCACTAAAAGCCCACGGCTTTCTCTAATTCCCTTCAATGGCCACCCTACTTGGTGGCCAATGCTAGACATTGTAATAAGAAATG